CAGGAAGATTGAAGTATTAACCCAGGTATCAAATGAAGGACAATACCAACAACAAAAATGGAAATGGGAAGACATTCAAATAAGGCTCAAGCACAAACACAGACTTCCAGCTTCTAAAGGGCAAATTCTGGGGGAAATGGGGTGGAAAAGACTGATAATCAACGACCTGGACATCCTAAACTGATAGCTCAGGAAGTACCAAAACAGATGAATTAGGCTCTAGAAAAATTCAAAACAGAAATAATTTTCCACATAACTACAGCAATGGTGAGTGGGATGAATGACATGATTAGAGTCTCTAGAATAGAAACAGTTTAAAAAACAATTCATGCGTTCAGGACAATGATAGAAGCCATGAATGCTCAGAATAGGAAAGAAGTGAAAACCATGAATACCCAACATAGGAAAGAAATGGAGTCCATAAAACAAATTCAAACAGATATCCAGGAGATTAAAAACTCTATTGAAAGTCTATGTAACAGACCGAGCCAATCTGAAGACAGGATATCTGATATAGAAGACAGGAAGGAGATCAGTGACCATGAAAAGAATCTCTTAAAAATAGTAAGGGACATGAGAAATCAATCAAATAGCTCCTAGATGATACAAAGAAGAATAATATAAGACTGATAGGAGTCCATGAAAAAGAAGGAGAATATACAAATGACATAAAAAAAAAACTGTTCACAGAAGTAATGACAGAAAACTTCCCAAACAGAGCAAAAGAATTTGTCATACAGATAAGTGAGGCATATAGGACTCCAACTAGTCATGATTTAAAAATAATCTACACATAGACATATAATAGTCAAGATCCCGCAAACTCAACAGAAGAACAAAATACTACAAGCAGTTAGAGAAAAGAAACAAATCATTTGCAAAGGAAAGCCCATCAGAATCACAGCAGACTTTTCAATGCAAACCCTCAAATCAAAGAGAGCAGGGAGTGAAGAATTTCAAGCCCTAACAGAAAACAAACTCCAACCTAGACTGATATATCCTGACAAACTATCTTTCAAAATTGATGGGGAAATAAGATACTTCAAAAACAAAGAACACCTGAAAAACTTCATGATTACCAAAACAGCACTCCAAACAATTCTGAATAATATCTTAAAAAAAGACAATGAAGATCACAATTCTATGAGGCCCAACACAGCAAATCCAGCAGGCAAGGCAAGAAATTAAAGGGAGGGGGGAAAAAGTTAAAAAGCGCCAACAACAGGATAATAACATGATGATGATAAGTCAATATATATCAGTTATAATCATCAATGTTAATGGCCTCAATTCACCAATCAAAAGAAATTGACTGGCAGAATGGATTAAGAAGCAAAATCCAACAATATGCTATATACAAGAAACCCACTTAATCCACAAAGAAATTCATAGACGGAGAGTCAAAGGATGGAAAACAGTTCTCCATGCGACAGGAGCCCAGAAAAACGCAGGGGTAGCTATCTTATTTCCCAACAAAGTGAACTTCAAGCCAAAATTAATTAAGAGAGACAAAGAAGGTCACTACATCCTTATAAAAGGAGCAATCCAAGAGGAAGAGATGACAATCATAAATACATATGCATCAAATACTAATGCCCCCAACTATACAAAACAAATATTAAGGGACAAGAAAAACCAAATAAGCACTATTACAATTGTAGTGGGGGACCTCAGTACTCCACTGTCAGAAATAGACAGGTCATCTAGATAAAAAAACACTAGAACTGAAACAAACTTTTGAACAAATGAACTTAACAGACTTTTACAGAGTGTTCCACCCCACAAAATCAGAATATGCATTCTTTTCAGCTGCACACAGGTCGTTCTCCAAAACAGACCACATATTAGCTGATAGAACATGTTAAAGTAAATGCAAAAGAGTTGAAGTTATCCCATGTATATTATCAGACCATAGAACAGTTAAACTCTAGATCAGTAACAAAAGAAATCACAAGAACTTCACAAACACATGGAAACTGAATAATACTCTCTTGAACAACCAATGGGTCACAGAGGAAATTAAAGAATAAATTAGACAGTTTTTACAAATAAATGATAGTGCCAATACAACATATAGGAATCTATGGGACACAATGAAAGTAGTTCTATGAAGGAAATTTATAGCAGTGAATGCCCACACTAGGAAAACAAATAATCTAATGCTGAATCTTAAGCTTCTAGAAAAAGAAGAGCAAGACAAACCTAAACTTGTACAAGGGAGGAAATTATAAAGATCAGAGCAGAAACCAATTGAATGGAGACTAAGGACAATACAAAAAATCAATGAATCAGAGTTAGGTTTTTAAAAGAATAAATAAAATTGATAAACTCTTAGCCAACATTATCAAAAAAGGAAGGAAAAGGCTCAAATCCATGCAATTAGGAATGAAAAGGGTGATCCAGACAGATCCAGCAGATCCAGCAGAAATCCAGAGGATCATCAATACCTACTTTGAGAACCTGTACTCCAATAAAATGGAAAACACCGAAGAAATGGATAGATTCCTAGATACATATGAATTACTAAAGTTGAACAAAGAAGATCTAAAAATTCTAAATGCCCCAATTACAATCAGTGAAATTGAACATGTAATTAAAAATTTACCAACAAAAAAAATAGCCCAGGTCCTATGGATTCACTGCTGAATTCTACAAAACATTTAGAGAAGAACTACAGCCAATATTCTTTAAACTTTTCAATGAAATTGAAAAGGAAGCAATACTTCCAAATTCATACCTGGAAGCAAGTGTTACTTTGATTCCAAAACCAGGGAACGACCCAATCGAAAAACAGAACTACAGGCCAATCTCCTTAATGAACAAAAATCCTCAATAAGATACTGGCAAACAGAATACAGAGCGTCATCAAGAAGATCATACACCCTGACCAAGTTGCATTTATCCCAGTGATGCAAGGATGGTTCAACATACATAAATTAATAAATGTAATGCATTATGTTAACAGAGTCAAAGACAAAAAACGTGATCATCTCTGTAGCTGCAAAAAAAGCATTTGACAAATTTTAACACCCATTCATGATGAAAGCCCTGCAGAAAACTGAAATAGATGGTCTTTATCTCAACTTGATAAAGGCTACCTATGAAGAGCCAACAGCCAACATCATACTAAATGATCAAAAACTGAAAACCTTCACTCTAAAATCAGGAACAAGACAAGGATGCCCACTATCACCACCCCTGTTCAATATAGTTTTGGAAATAGCAATTAGACAAGAGAAAGAATATAATTTTGGAAACAGCGGTTAAACAAGAGATGTTTGACATTATTAATCATTAAGGAAATACAAATCAAACCATATCACCAGAAACCAACTAGGATAATATGAGCAAAAAGTCCAATAGTAATTCTGATAAAGATGTGGAGAAATAAGGACCCATATAGACTACTCATGGGAATGTACAGTGTCATAGACACCCATGGTTTACATCTAGAATGTTCCCCCAAAGTCTTCTGTGCTTGGAAGGTGATTAGATCATGGGGTGCTATGTTCATCAGTGGGTTAGCCCACTAATGAGTTCAGCTGTTAGCGGGCAGTGCCTAGTTAGAGGCTGGTCACTGGGACATATCTGAGGAGAGTGTCTCTTCCTCCCCAGCTTCTGCCATTTCTTTCTGCTTCCTGGCTGCCATGAGTTGAGCACCTTTTCCTGGGCCTCTGTCGTGGAGCCAGCCACCAATAGCATGAAGCCATGAGCCAAAATAAAGCTGTCCTTTAAGTTGTAAGTGTTGGGCATTTTGTTCCAGGGCCGAGAATGACTAAGACAGACACTTTGGAAACCAGTGTGACCATTCTCCCAAAAAGTTGAACACAGTGCTATCATTTTGACCCAGAAATTCCATTGCTAGAAAAGTACCTAAGAGAAATGAAAATATCTGTTCATGCAACATCTTGTACACACATGTTCATAGGAGCATTGTTCATTATAGCTAGAACAATGAAACAACCTAAAGTTCAACTAACCCACTGATAAGATGTAATATAACCATACATTTGAACATTGTTTGACCATTAAAAGGAAAGAAAGCATGGACACAACATGTGTCAATCTTGAGAATATTGTGCTAAGTAAAAGATGTCAGTCACAAAAGATTGCTGTTTATGTGATTCTATGACTATGAAATGTCTCAAATAGGCAAATTTGTATGTAGAGAAAGCAAGCTACCAGTTTCCTAGGGCTGGAGGATGGGAAGGTTGGGAGCAGTGGTTCCAAGATAGGAGAATTTTTGGATGCTGATGAAAACGTTCAAAAGTTGATTGTGAAAATGGTTGCACAACCACATTCTATGTGAACAGGCAAAAAATCACTGACTTACATATACAGCTACGTGAGTTATATTGTATGTGAACTAGGTATCAAAAAAATCTGTCATAACCCCTGAATTGGCAAGGATATGAGAAAAATTGAATTTTCAGATACTCTGAATGAGTAACTTTAGACAGTCACGGTGGAAAGCAGCTTAATAGTACTTAGTAAAATGAAAGTCACGTACCCTCTGACCTAGAAGTGCTGCTTTTATGTGTGTGATCATTTGCTGGATCCACTGGCACCAGAATGTAAACTAATGCCTCACTTTTTTCCTTGAGAAAGCCTCACTGAAAGATCAGATGAACTATTAAGGATGTCCTATGACAAGTTGCCTCTGTTCTGTCATAGACTTCATTTCTTACCATGCACCGAAATCATTTGTAGCTATAAGGTCAGTCTATGAACTTTTAAGTAGCACCCGTCTAGAGAAACTTGACCATGTGCACAAAGGAGCATTACAATTCAAGCCTGTTACAATAGTGGAAAACTAGAAACAATTAGTGAATAAATAAATCATAGAATATTGACTTAATAGACTTCTTACATATATTTGTACAAAGATAGATCTCAAAATATATAATTTTGAATATAAAAAGAAAGAATATTTACATCAACAAAATTATATGAATCAACAATGTTCCATGCCAATATGTATATATAATTTTTTTTGACAGACTAAACGACATTTATGAAATTCCTAACGAAATCTACCTTTGGGAAAGAAGGGGAATCAGGAGAGCAAAAGGTATTTTACTTTTATCTACAATGTTCTATTGTATTTATTTTTCTTTTTTTAATTTTTTTTAATTTTTGGCTTTTTGAGACAGGGTCTCACTATGTAGTTGAGACTGACCTGGAACTCACTGTGTAGCCCAGGCTGGTCTCGAACTCACAGCGATCCTCCTGCCTCAGCCCCCCGAGTGCTGGGATTACAGGTGTGTGCCACCACGCCCGGCTTATTGTATTTATTTTTCAAAAGATGTTTGAGTCAAACATGTCAGAATGTTAAAAACTCAATACTTTCTGATAGGTTTATGGATATTGGAAACTTTATGCTATTTGTGCTTGTCTATGTGTTTAAGTTTCTCAAGAAAAACACCACAGTGAGGTGCCTGTAGTTAGTAAATTCTGGCTGCGTGTTACCCATGTATCTGCTCCAGCTACACTGAGAGACGGGAAGTGTGGCACCTCCCCATCTGTTAAAGAAATCTGGACATCTGCGGGCAGCACAGGGACATGAAGGACTGACGTGACAGCCACAGGACAGGCAGAGACGCTTGACAACACTTATATGACTTTATCAAGCGACCAATGCTGGGGAAAAAATTAGATCTTATTAGAGCAGCATTGAAGATCATCCAGATCTCCAGGATTAAATCATTGATGTTAAATGACTGATTAGTATGTGACCTTTCATTTATTTTTTCCCACTGGATGGGACAAAGGAACTTTTCTAGCTGAACAAAACTTGTTAAAAGTGCAAGCTTTTCCAAGGGATCCTTATGTATAATTCCAGGCAGATTTTTATAGGAGGAAAGTGTTCAGAGTGGGCAGGAACACAGCATTTGAAGAATCTCATCTTAACAAGTCTTCCCTCCCTAGAAACGAATTATATTCTGATTTATCCCTTGTGCAGACCACACAAACCTTTGCATGGCCCTGAGGTTATTTCCTTGCTCAATTTCTGTGCTGGAGACCTGCTGAGGACAGACTGTGGTGAAAATTTCCGAAAGGAGGTCCTTGCTGTGTAAGTACTTCCTTTTCTACCTAATACCCAAATTAATAACTAATGTGTAGTCATGTAATCGTGTTTCTCATTAACAACACCACCGATAGACTTAGGCTCCAATTCCAGTCATTGGTTGAAGGGCGAAAAATATAGAAATGATATCATCACATTAATCTAGATAGTCAGGAAGATGTCAGCACTTTTAAAGAAAATGAAGTTTTGGCTTTATTTATTAACTTAGTTCAAGCGATGCTTATTTAGTCTTTGCTAAGGCCAGAGTGATTTGTAAGGCACTGACAATATGAAACTGGAAATTACATTTTCCACCTTTTAGCGAGATGTCAAACAACAAGGAAAATAGATTATGTGAACACTTTTGTAGATCAATGCAATGTTAAAAGATAACACACCCAAAACAATTTTAAGCTCTGTGAGGCAGGGCCATATTTTCTTTTTACACAGTTATATCCCAGAACTTAGCCTTAGAGCCCGAAGCACTTAAAATGTTGGCTATTTAGTTTGTTGTTTTGGTCTGTTCAGGCCACTGTAGCAAAATACACTTAATTGAGTAGACTGTATACACCAGAAATTTATTTTTTACTGCTCCTTTGGTGGGTACCAGTAGATTTGGCAGGTGGGTTCTTTGTTTCAAAAATGGTTCCTTGTCACTGGGTCTTCATCGGGGCAGAAGGGTCAAACACATTCTCTCCAGCCTTGCGGACAAGAGCATTAATCCTGTGCATGTTGGCTGATCCCTCATAACCTCATCATCTCCAAGTACCCTGCCTCTGAGTAGCACACCCTGGGGTTAGGCTTCAGCATATAGATTTTGAGGGGGAGCAAAGATTCATATGATGATATTTGGTAATGAGCAAGGACACTGCAGGAGAAGTGATTGTGGTAGCAGAAGCTATTTCTCTCAGATACTATCATGGACAATTGGTTGACTAAAAGCTTAGTTGAAGTGGGTAGTCCAAGATGAGACTATGTACAAACTTCCAGCATTTATAAAATCAGTCTTTAAAAAATTTCTGTCAATCCTTAGATAAAAAGCCAAACTTTTTACATGTCTGAAATCAGATCGGAAAAAATAAAATGCAGTCACATTGGACAACTCAGACATTTTGCATAAACCACATTTATAATGCATCTTATATGATTTTTAGTTCTTACAGAGTAGTGAACCCTGAAAAGACTGTTATGAAGCAAGAGCATTTCTTCACCATTTAGGTCTTCGTTATTTTCCCAAAATTTCACACCTATTTTTGTCTATTTAATTTTTTCATACTGTTTTCTGTGTTTTTGAAGCCTTAACCTTTGTTAAGTCTTCATGAAAAGAGCATTTAAATTAGTTTTCAAAAAGAGATATCTTCTGCCCATGCAAATTTTCTGGTGTTTTGTATAAGATTTAATTAAATTATATGATTACAACAACACAAACCATGGGTATAAGTGGTCTGAAGTGACTTTTAATGAACACACTTTGATTTGATGGGAAAGAGGAGATAGCGCTGAAGAAAATCCTAGCAGAATCCTGAGCTGAGTGAGCCGGAACGGCTGACAGTACTGAAGGTGGTAGGTTGGTACAGAGGGTCTAGCAGTGGGAACTGTAACCAAAACCATCTAATATCAGAAGAGTTGCTACAAAACCAAACTTAAAGGATGTTTAATATTTTCTCGGAAGACTGCAAAGAACATTCTCTCAGATCAGGGATATTTCTTGCAAAAATATAAAGGTTTTAAGCAGCACAATGTTTAGGGGAGACTGGCTTACTGTGATGCATTCTTATAAGTGTTCTTTTGAAAAAGTAGTTGCTTTTCTTTAAGAGAGACATAACCAGGATTTTTAAATTCATCTTAACAGTGATTTTATCAGTCAACTTTGAAGTTACTGCAATGAAATACCCAAACTGTCAACCTATAAAAGGATTGATTTAGCTTACAGTTGTGGAGGTTCAAGGCTGAAGAACACGTGGCCCTCTGCTCTGGCCTGTGATAAGAATGGTAGATGGTGGTCTGTCTGGCTGGACCAGTCACATCTTGAACCAGTAGTCGGGGCATGGAGGGAGAGAGAGAGAGAAGGAAAGACTAAATCTTCAAGGGCATGCGCTAATGACTTAAGGACTTTACATTAGGTTTCATGTAAAAGTCTCACTCTCTCCCATTAGTGGCATCCTAGGACCAAACCTGTAACATGTGGACCTCTAGGGGATGCTCAACATCTGAGCCATAGCAGTGATTAACAGAGGTAATCAATAGAATTGCTGTTTCCATAAATCTATTATTGAATATCCTCTCTCCACAAAGTTAACATTTTGACTTTGTGTGGGGACCAAAGAAGACAGGAAGACAAGAGGGAGGAAGGAAAGGATGGTCCATCCAAAGACTTATTCTAAGTAATTGACTTGTGCTTCTGTAAGAATGATCCTGACTTACATAATACCATGCCTCTTGTGAGTTTATCTGGAGGTTTTCCCTAGATAATGATTTTCATTAAAATTGAGAGGCACAGCAAGTTAACAAATTATTTTGCTTATTCGTGTTTATATTCATTACATGCAGATTCAATCCCTTTTTTAAAAAAATACTTTCATTTAAAAGTAGGAACCAAAGGCTAATTATAAAGTCATAATTTTGATATTATTACAACATAACAACTATATATGATCGTCATTATATTCCAATAACATACTTAAATTTGTGCCTTAGAGCTTTTCTCCAGAAAAAAAAATAGTATTTCATCAAAGGGTTTGTAGCATTTATAGTATTATTACTATCAAAATATTAAGAAATATGAATGAAGATTGTCACAAAATGTATTTTTTTTTCTTTAATTGAGAGGCTATAATTTTGAATTCCAAAGGAAGAAAGTTCAGGATGACACAATGTTTACCATGAAAGTTGCTAGATTTTTTTTCCAGTAAAGTCTTCCTGATGATGCTTAAATTCTCCTGACAGAAACCTTTCTAATATTTAAAGTACCCAGCTTTTATGGTGGGTTTTAGAAGACTCTACAAAATATTTGCTAAAAAACCATGGAAACAAATAGAAAACCACTTCCTAGAAACAAACCTTCATTAGATAGTCATTTTGCTTTTAGAATTTCTTTACTGCAACTGCAAAGGACCTTTTTAAATGCTCCCCTCAATTATTTATGGATAGATAAGTATTTTAGCTTAAATTGTATCAAAATCAAACCTGCCCATACTTTTTGAAGTCAAAATTTCCTATGAGACTTGTCAGTAGAAATCCTTTGTCCTGCCAATTTTAACCCTTTCCTTTAAAATCTTTGAACTTTTTTGCTCCCAGCAATTTGCCTCATTTTAAAAAATAGTCTCATGTTGAATAGATTAAGAATGGACAGGGACTTTAAAAAAAGGAGAAAAAGAAAAAAGTCATAGAATTAGGCCAGAGTGCCAAGGAGTTACAGAACCCATTAATTCCATTTTCTGTATAAAAAAAGTATTGTGTTTCAAATTACTCCAAAGTTGTCTTTTCAAATTACTCCAGAGTTATCACACAGGTAATGGGAGTTGGAGATTTGCCTGAGTTTCTGTTCTGTGCTTGAAATGTTGGTGTATAGCATGTGAGGTTTGCATTAAGCAGACACAAAAATGATTACTGTCACAAGATTTTTATTGTAAAACATGTTTATTGTAGGACTTGAGATTGAGATCTCTTCATGGTAGCGATCTCAAGGTGTGCTCTGGTTGTCCACAAGGTGAAAGCTATTTTCTTACTTGTACTAACACATGTGCCGCCTAATGACATTTCAGTCAACAATAGACCGCACATACTATGGCAAGCCCATTAGATTTAACAAAGCTGAAAATTCCTACCAGCTAGTGCCATAGCAGCCACCATAATGTCAAAGTGCAGCGTATTACTCACATGTTTGGTGATGCTGGTGCCTTGCTGCAAATGGTATGAAAGTAAAGCAAAACAGTTATGCACCTACCATACAGAACACGTGATAGTAAGTGATTACATCACTGTTGCGCTGTATATATTTACTATAAAAATAAACAAATAGTCTAAATACTATTTCTTCATTTAAAATTTTAAACATCTATGGATTCTTACTATGATATTTGAAAATTTAGTTTTCTCCTCCCTCCCCTGTATCATAACTCATCATTAAGTCAATATTTATGGTTTCTGTTATGACTTTAAATATTACTCACCAGGGAGCCAAATTGTGCAGTTATTATAATTCTTGGCTGGTATATCTTTTCTGTTCTCCTGTAGTTAATGAATCTTATTGTATTTTTTGTTTGCTGAGATAGCTGGGTGTACTTTTCTTTACATTCTCCATGAGAACAGGAGAAATCTTACCAGATACCACTTGTCCTTCTGGGGACACCCCTCTTATTATAATCTATTTTTCTGCTCTAAATTGGAAGAGTTGTTCTTTATCTTCAGAATTTTGTTCCCCCTCACTCTTTCTTCTTTCTCTTGAGTGATATGAGTTTGAAATTCAGTGATGAAACAATTTTCTATAGAAGCTGAAGGCATGGCTTCATTGTTTTCTAGCTTCTGTGCTGTAGGAAAGAACTTCAATCCTGTTATGATTCCTGATGTTTTCTATCATTAATTATTTTTCTCTGTTAACTTTTAGTTTTTTAAATACACTTGGTGTTATGACATATCCAGTGATGCACCTTGGTAAGGTTTAGGTTCTTTCATTGTTTGGGATTCTCAATAACCTTGTCAACCTGCAAACCTCTATCTTTTAGCTTGGGAATTTCTTTTTAATACCCTGTCTTCTGTTTTCTCTTCATAATTATTGATGGTCAGATGTTGGGTAATTTGAATGCATTCCTCACTGGTAATCTAACATCTGACTACCGAGACAGATGCGGACACACACACACACACACACACACACAGAGACACACACACCAAAAAAGAGAAATACCCTGTCTTCTGTTTTCTCTTCATAATTATTGATGGTCAGATGTTGGGTAATTTGAATGCATTCCTCACTGGTAATCTAACATCTGACTACCGAGACAG